CCCTCCAAAAGTTACGTGTTAGCCAGGTGAGTGGGGCTCGGTTCTTTGCCAGATGTTTTATTTATGTCGATTTTTCACCTCCGTCTGTTCTGTGCTCCCGTCAGGCTCCTGGACTACCCTACTCTGAGATCACATGACCATCAGCCAACCCTACGCCCCGCCCCTCCCGACGTGCTCCTCCCCTCAAGATGTTGCCTCACCAGCGCAGTCTAGACCTGCCCATTGAAATCACCCCACCATGCCCCGCCCACCACCCCGGAGGACGACGACCTCTGCGGCGAGTCAAATCCACTCAGGTGTGAAGGCTCGCCCACCACCCGGCTCGTTCCTGACGCCCTGAGCGGTGGGAGACGGAGACCTGTCCTCCACACCTGTCTGTTGTCCTCCAAGATGGCCTCTGTTTGTGTTCTGGGCGTGAGAAGAAGCCAGAGCTGTTAAAGCAATACGACATCCCATTTCCTTTCAAAGCTTCAGCTGAGACTCTGACTGTTGATTTCTCCAATCAAATATATAAAAACATGAACTAAGCTGTGACTGAGCGGAGCGTCACAAGTGGACGTTCCTCAACATCACTTTACTCTTCTCAGGACAATCAGGTGGAAACAAGTGAAAGACGTAAAAAGAGACGTTCATGAATCCTTCTGCCGCTGGAGGTTGGGCTACAGGTTCTGTAGCTGCAACATGTGGTCACACAGTTTAAAGTTCAGTGAGCAACCTCGTACCGTTTGGTTCACTTGTTTTAACCGAGTGAAGTGTCAGAAGAGAGATTTATGCCCACTAGAGCTTTGATGCTCCTCTTGCTTTGGAGGCAAGACTTTAGTCGTTCCTGACAAACTGAGTTCAGTTCCAAACCTGAACGTGTCCATCACTTTCATGTTGCAGCTGTGAAGACGTATGGAAAACTTCTTGCTTATTACCACATGATTCTTTTATCCTTAGCTTGCAGGTAAAGCCCTTTCTTTCCTGTTTTCTTCAACATTTTACCAGATTTGTGCTTTATTGACTGATTTTTGTCAGCGTTGGAACACGGAGCGCCCACAGCGTTCCTCACATTTATTCTAGTTCCAAAACACACGTGATGTAGGAGGTCTTCTGACGAAGTCTCAAAACCTTTGTCCACTCCAGACGTTGATGCTTCACCAACCCTTCACCCCACAGGCTGTAAAAACAGACGTGTGTGAAGGAGGACGCCTCTGAGTTGACCGAGGTTTTCTACCGCTCTTCGGTTTGTTCACAGCTCTGAGAAAACATTATAACTGTGGTGACAGTGAGCGAGCACCGTGCACGGTGTGGCAGGATTGTGAGGTAGCTGAAACAGTCATGTCACGCGGTGGAGAAGCGTGCGAAGTCTTAGCGTACACACAGTGTTTGGCTATTGGACTGCTGCAGGGTGTCTTCATAAAAAGGACGTATCTGACCATCAAGAAGACGTGCTCGTGGTTTCATACGTGCGTGTGCTTTGTGTGTGTGTTTATACCGGGCACATTGTGTGCAGCACCTGTTTCCTTCAGTTAAAGTGTCAAAAGTTGCTGCTATAATTACACACGTGTGCGTGTTTGTAACTGCGGGCCTTAAAGGACCCCTGCCAAGGCGTCCTAACAATGCCTGTTGGAGCCGAAGGTGCTCATTATAGCTCTGAGATTACCTGCAGGGCTTTTAATTTGATTTTATTTATTCAGCAGGAACATTTCATGTTATTTTCACGTTAAACGTCTCTGTTTTGTATTTAGTTACTCAAATAAATTGCAGTTATCATATACTGATGTGAGAATACTTGATGTGGAAGTTTTCTTCTGTTTGTTTGTTGCAAAAACAGTTAAATTTGTGCGTTAATGTTATTTTAAAACTAAGGTTGAGGCCAATATTTAATTGCGTTCAACCTTTGTTTCTACAGGTGAGTGTCATCGAGCATCGAGGACTCATTTGCAAGAGACACCTGATTTTAACAAACAGTGATGACAACAGTAGACAATCATAAAAAAGCATAAAAAAATGAAAAATAAATGGAAGAAATCATATAAAAAACGAAACTAAAACATCTAGATTGTAAGGCGGTGTAGAAACTAAAAACAGGAACGTCTGCAGGAACTGAACAGATGTTTGAAGCCACTTGGAGAGGTCAAAGGTCGAGAGCTTCAGGTCTTTTTACAAGATATTCCAGGAAACAGGAGCGGAGTAGGAGAAGGTCCTTTTGTCTAGTTAGTCCTCACTGAGGGAACACTGCAGGTAATGATGTCCTGAGAGCGCACGCTGTAGCTGCACTCACACAGAGACATGTAGGAGGAGATGTATGAAGGCAGCAGACCAGGAAGTGATTTAAAGATGAAGATGTACCAGTGGGAGAGTCTGTGTGAAGTTAATGGTGACCAATTTTTAATCTTTAAATTTTCTTTTAATAATTTATGATTTCAACATTCATGTCAACCTCTGGTCAGAGATTTGATGAACATTAGTGACTTTTAATCTCACACAGTCTGTCACAAGTGCAACTCATGAAAAAGGACACACACGGGATCTTGTGCTGTCTTACGGAATAAATGTGGAAATCTGTGGAGCTCTTTTATTGAATCATCTACCGGTTCTGTTCACTGCGGTGGTCTCTGGTAGGAAGGACCGGACTGGAACATCTGTGCGTTCTGCATGTGCAGTTAATTCAAACACGAGCTGCACATCTCCACCAGCTGTAATGTCTCTGTCTCCTGCAACCCTCAGTTCTGCTCTGTGTCCAACGTGGACGAGTTTACTCATCTTTTTAGTTCTACGTGCACTGACATTCTGAATTCTGTTCCTTCTCTGAAGATCAAAAAGATGAAGTCTCCATTTCATCCATGGCTGAATGAATCCAGATGGAGCGACTCACAACAAAAAAGTGTTTAAAGCGGTGTCAGCGGTGAACACTGAAACAATGTTGGGAGCAGCTAAAGCTCGGCTAGAAGCAATGATGGATGATGCTGAGTTTTTTACTAACTGTATATTTTAAGTTCCAAAAAAGTTCAATCTGGTCCTCTGGACATTCAAAAAAACAAAAAACAAAACAAAAAATATATAGAAATGTTACGTCTCTCATCCTGAGGACTTCCTCAGTCTGAGGTGCTGTATTCAGCTCAGTCTCTTAAATAGCACCTTCTCAGAGTGGATCAACCAG